AAAAAAAAAAAGCAAAAAAAAAATAAAAAATGGACCCCCACACACTCACAACTAACGGTTCTTTTCTCTAATCAGTGAGGGCAATGCCCAAAAATGGAGTGGGGGGGGGGGCGTGTTAAGACTCAAGCACGCAAGAATTTGTTTTTTTTTACACAAAAGCGAAAAATAAACAAATAAATATTATAAAATGAAAGCCGATGTTATGAGAACTGGTGATATTAAAGTTGATGATATAAGAGTTGATTGATATGAGAGTTGATGATATAAGAGTTGATGTAATGAGAGTTGATGTTAGGAGATTCGATGATATGAGATTTAATGATATGAGATTCGATGATACGAGAGTTGATGATACAAGAGTTGATGATATGAGTCCCGATGATATGAGATCTGATTATATTATTCATGTGCTAAACATCATGCATTATTTTTCAAAAATAAATGTATGCTTAAGTATATGAGATACATTTTCCTAAAAATAATGTGAAAGTACAGCAAAAAATTATTTTAATATAAGTCTCCTTCTGCATTTGTTTAGGGCGGTAAATGTTTTGAACTCGAAAATGGGCGTGGAGCTGCAAAAAAAAAAAAAAAAAAAAAAAAAAAATTTTAAAAAATTAAAAAAACAAAAAAAAAANATAATAATTTTAAAATATTTCACTACCCTATAAATAATTCATGTCAGATGAAAGGAAAGATGAAGTTCATTAGTTAATTTAAAGCTGAATTATACATGAATAAAATTATAGATTTTAAATAAATAAAAAACACAATTTTAAAAATAAGAAACAAAAAAAAAAAGAACTTGTTTGTTGTTAAGACAGGTTAAGTTCAGGTGAGATAACTCACACCTTGTTCATAAGGATAACTGAACTTTAATAGCTGGTTATTATTTTTAAGGCCAATGCACTGTCAACCGTGGAGGGAAAATAAGGCCTCTGAGGAATTTGAGAAAGAAAAGGGGGGAAAAAATTGAAGGAAATCAGATGAGTTCACAATAAGTCAATGGAGTGAGACCAAAGAAAACACAACCCAGTAAATGTAGAGGTCGAGACTAAGGGGATGGATGGTTATCTCCCCTTTTCCCTTAGAGATGTTGGAGCTTATGACAACGGTGAAATATGGCCCCCAGTCCTTTGTGTGTGACATCACTTGTCATTGTCACGGATGTCAGTGGGCATTCTTCACATCCAACCTCTTGATGTATCGCCTCCTAGCCTCCAGGTCTGTGGCGCGAGGAAAGAGCTAACCCATATTTTAACGTGGGAAGGGGGGGGGGGTGACGTCACGTGCCACAGCCTTGAATAAAATAAATACCAAACCAAAACATGAGAAAAATTATCATGTTTGTTTAAATCACACTAAGTAGAAGAAGACATTATTGTTTTGTTTTTTTTTAAAGTAAAAAATCAAACTAAATCCTGAATTCTATAGCTGACGCGAGCAATATCAATGTTTTGTTTTAAAACGGTTAAACAGCAACTTTTCGGTTTCAGTTCATTTGTCGTATGAATAGTGTCACGTGATCAGCATTCATAGCATCATTCTTATGGTGGCTACCCAATGGGCACACACACACACAGCAGAGTTTGCGTTGGATGCATATCTAAACAGCTTTCTATCATGCATCTTTTTTGTTTTTTGTGTGTGTTGCAATCTTAAGGTTAACCACTCTCCTGGAATGTCTCGTGAGTTTCTAATAATGAGAGGAGGTTTGAGGCGTTCAAGGGGTTTTAATCAAAGGATCAAGGGGAGTCATCAGTTGAAATTTGATTTTTTTTTTTTTGCCGGTTAGTGACTTTAGAAACATTGCGTCCAATTTTTTAACGTCCAATTATCTAAAAAAAAAATTATTTTTGATGACAGTGATCAACGAACAATGATAGTTATGTCAAACCGAAGTCGAATAGCAACCCTTGCGCCCCCCCAGGCGGCTTCCACCACTCCTGGTATTGAATCCTTTCA